CCAAGGATGGAGGATTACTCAAGGTCAGGAGTTTGAAACCAGCCTGAGCAAGAGAGAGAGAGACCACATCTCTACTAAAAATAGAAACAAGCCGGGCGCGGTGGCTCACGCCTATAATCCTAGCTCTCTGGGAGGCTGAGGCGGGCGGATTGCTCGAGGTCAGGAGTTCGAAACCAGCCTGAGCAAGAGCGAGATCCGCTCTATTATAAATACAACCCTTAGAGTCTTTGAAAGTGAATGTTGAGAAACTTGCAGTCTAAGTATAAGCTGGGATTTGCTGCTTACTTAGTCTTAACTTTGAGCAACAAAATGACCTAACTCTAATTATTACACTATTTTGGCTGTCAATTATAATTACCCACCAGAAAACATTCTTAATGAGGTAGAGCCAGTATTGTGATGGAGCCAGTATTGTGATGGATGCTGGACAGAGTTGATTATTAAATTTTTAAGAATTTTGTGAGCTGATGGTTAAAACTTGGTAGCTGGAAATCAGACACGATGGGAATAGTCATAACACAGAAAATGGAAAGTGCTACAAATCAGGCCCTCCATCCCCTGCTTCTCTCCCTCCATATATGCCCCCCAACCTGCTCTGAGAGCCTATTTACCACCAGCACACAACTGGGTAGAGCCATTCTGTTTCCAATGGAGCATCAGAAAATGAATGCCAGGCCTGATGCTCTGCTGCCGGTGATTGGCAACCTGCTTCTCGTCAGACCTAGAAAGTGGCAGCCCTACAAGCCTTGGTCACCAACACAGGCAAATGTGAAACTCAGAATATCAATGGCTAGAGTGCAGTTTTCATCTCTGAAGGTCAGAAGATCACTTTAAAGTATCTGCTGCTGCTTAGCTATGGTAGGTTGACGTGGAGCATCAGGATATCCTAAGTCTGTGGGAAGTAAGTGACTCATTCTCCCAATCAGCAGAGTGAGGGTACATTCATCCCTCAAAACATGATGGAGTTTTCCTTCTGATATCATTAATCACAATGAATATGTTTGAGGATTATACAGTAACAAGATGGGAGAAATTAGATCTCATGCAGTTGAAATGCCTGAAGAACAGTTCTCCATGGAACTAGGTAATTCATTATTCTACTAATGTTGCCTTGTGAAAATCTTGCCTTCTCTATGTCAGCCAGCTCAGAGCTGTTTCAACCTATACATTTCATTTTTCAGGAAGTGTTGTAAGCACAATGTTTGTTTATACTGTTTGTTTTGTGCAGATCTACCAGGGCTTTATTTAATTCACCAGAGGCCTAATGTAATGTCTGACTCAAGCCCAAGAACACTTATGTTTCTTAGTCTTTGTAGCTTGCGGTGTAGAAATGAAATTAAACCCTGGAAAACAACCCAGGGCCTTTGCCAAGAAAACAAATCTATATTTCTTCAGCCTGTTACTATATAGTACCTGGTTTGAATCTAGTGAGATTTCCCCCAAACATGGAATCCATACATACTTTCAATCCTCATTCTCTTAAGACCTTAGGAAAAGGAAGCTATAGCAGGCATTTTTAAGAGATGGGTGAACACGGAGTAGATGAGCTTTTAAAATTAACATCTAGAGGACATTGGTACTCTAAGACAAGAGTCTGCCAACCTCCTCCTCTGCCGTCAAATTAACAAACTCCTCTTTCCTTCTCCTCAAACCACTTGTCCTTGTGGCATCAGGGACAGTGCCAAACTTTTAATAACAGAATTTGCATCCCTGCATGGCGCTCACTGGCACCCTGGTGGAATGGCACCCCACAACTGCTGGAAGAGGCAGGGAGCATCCCTGGGTCAAAGCTGTAGGTCTTCACAGTAGGAGCAACTTCTTTTCGAGGTGAGAGAGCAGGAGATGGCCGCAGCAGCTGCAGGAGCCTGTTTTAGCTCTGGGGAACTCCCATCTGTGTTGACCAAAAGTAGACACGGCTCCCCACAACATGAACTGAGTTGAGGAGAAGGAAATGGATTTGGAAACGTCCAGACAGCCTGGGCCATTTGTGTGTTGAGTAAGTTCCTTAGAGTGCACCCCAAGACCCTGATTCCACCCTTCAGGGCAGAGTTTCAGACCTTCCTGTTTGTTTTGAGGTGCCTTTTGGGGGTGGAAGTCACAAGGTTGAGTGGAACTAGGAAAACTGGTTTAAATTCAGAGTTCATTTGCAGTTCCCAGGGAATGGGAGAATTAGGCCACCCATTTGGAGAGGGTTTTGAACCTTCTAGTTGGGATAGTGTTTATCCCCTTTAAATTTCCATTTGTGAACCTTCCAGCCCAATGACAGGGCATTTGAGGTGCCATTGGGGTGGCATTTGTCCCCTTTGGATTCCGGTTTGTTTGATAGGCCCTGACATTTTTGTGTTGAGGATTCTCTGTATTGTCTGTTTGTTATTTGTGAGTTTTATTGTAACATAAGGAAGCTCCATCTCAAAGTCCTTTGGGAAAAACTTTGGCTGTATGGTTAACTTATAGCTACAAACCCATGTGCAAAGATGATCGTGTTATTGTAAACCAAGGTATGGGCTGGAGTGTGAGGAGAAACGGCCATTAAATGAAAATTCCCATTTGATGGATAGGCCTTGGCATTTTGGATTTTTTTATTTTTTAAATTTAATTCTGATTTTATTTCCAACTAAATAAAGCAACACACCAGTCTAGGTGATACGCTTGACTCAAGGGGCAAAAGCCAGGAAACCATCACTACACATGACTGTCTTCCACATCTCCTCCCAGAAAATGTGGGGGAATAAATCTTAGGCAAGGAAACAGAGGAAAAGAGAAAAACGGGAAGTGAAATTTATCCAGTGTGCCTGGGAAGGTGGTCTCTCCATCTTCTTTCCTGTAAACTGCTCCATCAGCATGGTTCATCCCGGATGATTTTAATATCATGACCATCTTCCCTGATTTTCATGCACAGAGTAGTACATTCATTGGGATAAGTGGACATATCGCTGCCACATACAGGGCTAAAGTCCCTGGGAGATCCTGGTAATTTATACAGACCACAGTTTGGTGTTCTATATGCTGCATGCTTACCAAATTCAGAGTCCAAAGAGGCTGCAAAGAGCTCGGCCAGGAGCAGCAGCGCCAAGCGCAGCGCCAGAAGCGCCATCCTGCCGCGGTGGGCGGCGGGGACGCGGAGCATCCTGTGCTGGAGCTCCGGGTCCGGGCGTCAAACATTTTGGATTGTTCATATTGAGAATTCCCTGCATTGCTTGTGTTTCATTGTTTGTGAGTTTCTTCTGGTGAGTTTTTGTACCTTTGTCTAAAGATTATTGTGATACCGCTTGTATGGAATGTGAGGAAAAGTGGTGATTGATGGTGCGTGGTTTATTCTGAGCTGTTGGTTCTTTTAAAATTCAGAGCTCAAATGGTCAACCTGCCACCATAGAGTTAAAATGTTGAGTCTCAAGTTTTCTGCTTGAGATAAACTCATTGTTTATGATATCCAAAATGATCTGTGTTTGTTATGATTGTTGATAAATGAGATCCTCTTTCCCTGTCCGGAACTCCCGGAGCCAGCCCAGGGGAGACACCGGATGGGGCCGTAGCCGGGGATGCACCCAGCGCACAGCAAGGGGGAAGGAGCGCCTGCTGCCGCCATCTTAGCACCATGAGAGGGGCCAGGGGCGGCACCGCCGGAACTAACTCCAGGCCCACGCCCAGTAAATTAGGACTCGGGGTTTGGAATTGTCTCTCCCGGCAGCGGACTCAATTTGAGCCAGAAGTAACCTGTAGCTGGGGCGGGCAATTTGCAGCAATATCAGACAGGGAGGCTTGAATGTGCAAGAGCAGCTAAAGAATCCTCTGAGACAGTCAAAAGGAATGGGTGAAAAAGCTGCCCCAAGCTCACTTTTTGTAAAGAAGAAGAACCTTGAAAGGCATATTGCCCCAAATTGTAAAGATCTCCAGATGGCAGGAAGCCTCTAGGGAAGCAAATAGTGTTTTTTAAAGTCCAGGACTCAGAGAGTGAAGGAGGGGCCCATAGCTCCCCTGCCTCCAAATATCCCCATAGGAGCCCTGGACAAAATTGACAGTTGGGTTTCGATTGGCATTAGCATCGTGGACAAAAGCAGTCTGGTGGGGGCCCTTTCCCCTAACTGCCACCCTGATCCCCGGCACCAATCATGACTGGTACTCTTTGAGCCAGGCAGGGGGCAGCAGGTAGGGCCCAGGTGGCAGTGAGGCATCTGTAGACAAACAGTGGCCGAGAAACTCATCACAGCGGGCCCAGGAGGTGGACCTGGTTGAACAGCAGAAGCATGAAGGGTTGTTTCAGAAGTGGCAGAAGCTCACCTCTCCTGCTGGATGAATACCAGGTCCTGGTGAAGAATACAAGAAACTCCCACTGTGCTTTGAAGTTCTGGCCTCAGCAACTTCAGTTCTGGCCTGCACATCATTCAGTCCAGGGAAAGAGGCTGAGCAGGTAGAAAATGGTACCCTGGTGATGGACACCGTGGGCAGACAGCTGCAGAGATGGCTCAGCAGCTCCTCCTCCTACAGCAAGGACATCAGCAGGCACCCCATTGTCAACAGGACTCAAGACCACACTCCACAGAGCCCTGGACATTTCACAAGAGGGATAATAGACCCTTCTTTGTAGCAGAGGTAACTCAATAAGTAAGCAAAGCCCTACACCTAGAATAGAAATTATATACATCCTGGAATTGATACAAGAAACCCATCTAAAGTGAGATAGGGTGTTATCACTTGCTGTCCTCCAGATAAAGGTAGCCCTTTAAAGCAGGCCTAAATTAAGCCCCTAAGAAATAGTTTATGAGAGACTCTTCCTAGCACCTTGAGGTAAGTATGGTAATATAAACATGAGTAAAAGAAAATACAGTAAAACATTATGTCAAGTGTTTGGGTCAGGTGCTAACCAGTATACATAAGTTTGCCTCTTTCGGGTCCCTGAACCAGTTGGAAGCAGATAAGTATAAGGGACCCTATGAGGTGCCTCTAACAACTCACACCTCATTAAAATGTTCAGAAGTGAAACGTTGGGTCCATCATAACCAAAGTAAAGAGTGTAACCCCCAGTGGAGGGGTCAGCCTTTAGGTGATCTAAAGTATCTGTCTGAGAGAAAGAAAAAAAATGAAAGTGTTGATATTTTCGCTAATCTTTGTTTGGTGATTTGTTCTGTCTTTATGGTAGAGGGACAGCTCCTTAGTAAGGATTTCCCCGGACTATCTCCTAGTCTGTTAATCTGTCTTACTGCTGGGTGTGTTGTCCTAAACCTCATTTGGTACAAGTATTTCTATGTTATTTCTGAATTTGCAAAAGCCAGTCTCTCAGATCACCAACAGGGTATAACTAATAGCTCTGTGCTCAGGGATCTCATGTTTCTTTTTTAAGCCAGCCCTGTATCAGACATTGCAACAGTACATTTCACCTTGTCGATCCTTATGGTTATAGTTATTGCTTATGCCCCTTTTCACCTGATAATCTGTACCTTCCATCTAAAACATTACCCCAATTCAGCAGGAAGTAGCTTGATGACTACCTTGCCCCTCTTCCCATAGATATAGAGGGTAAAATTGACAGTGGGGAATATGTAACAGAAAATGGCTGAAAAAGGGTAAAACTGTTTTCTGTCTCTTCAAAACCACCCTACCCTTTTTTGAGAACTAAAACCTACATCCCTGCCTCAGGCCAATGGTTGGGAAGAGCAGGGGAGTGTCCTTTGTTCTTTGCCCACAGGAGATGGCTCAAGGGAACTTTCCTGGCAGAGGTCATGAGATTTTCTTAGCTGAAGATGGGATGAGTCGGAACCTTTAAAAACTCTGTACTTCTGCTCAGAAGCAGGATGTTGGTACTTTGAGACAGGAGTCTGCCAACCTCCTCATTTAAAAAACTCCTCTTTCCTTCTCAAAAATAAAATAAAATAAATTAATAAAATGAAATAAACATCTAAAGCAGGAATTCTCAATTGTGGCTCACATTAGAATCATCTAAGAGGAATTAAAAAATCTCAAGGTTCAGGCCACACCACAGAACAATTAAATGAGAATTTTGGGGGTGAAACCCAGTATTGATAGTTAGTAAAGCTCCCAAGACCATTTCAATGTGCACACACCAAGCTTTGAGAACCACTGACTTAAAGCAATAAAATTAGTTTTCTCCCAAGTGAGATTTATTCTATGTTTAGTTGCCCTTCCTAATACATTAGAAATCTTTATTTCCTTAGTGTCTTATTACGTAGTTGTTGGCTTTAAGATTTTAAATAGACAATGAATCATGCATTAAAAACAATGATCTGGAATAGGTCAACTACCTGAAGTACCACAGCTATGATTATACCACATTCTTGCTAAAAAAGCTTCTTTGTTGATAAAAATCTGATACTGGCGAATGTACAGAGAAAAAAACATTTGAATACCTTCACTGAAATTTTTTTTTTTATTTTGGCATATTATGGGGGTACAGATTTTAAGGTTTCAATAAATGCCCATTCCCCCCTCCCCCCACAAGTCTGAGTTTCCAGCATGACCATCCCCCAGATGGTGCACTTCTCACTCATTATGTATGTATATACCCGCCCCCCACCCCCACCCCCCGCCCAATACCCTATTACTGTAGTACCTATGTGTCCACTTAGGTGCTACTCAGTTAATACCTTCATTGAAAATTGATACAAATTTTCCAGAGAACAATTTGAAAGTACATATCAAATTTTAATACATCCAGCAATTCCACTTTTAAGAATTTAGCCTAAAGAAATAATTGGCAGGCCGGGCACGGTGGCTCACGCCTGTAATCCTAGCTCTCTGGGAGGCCGAGGCAGGCGGATTGCTCGAGGTCAGGAGTTCGAAACCACCCTGAGCAAGAGCGGGACCCTGTCTCTACTATAAATAGAAAGAAATTAATTGGCCAACTAATATATATAGAAAAAATTAGCCGGGCATGGTGGCGCATGCCTGTAGTCCCAGCCACTTGGGAGGCTGAGGCAGGATTGCCTGAGCCCAGGAGTTTGAGGTTGTTGTGAGCTAGGCTAATGCCACGGCACTCACTCTAGCCTGGACAACAAAGTGAGACTCTGTCTCAAAAAAAAAAAAAAAAAAGAAATAATTGGCAAATGTATGAAGATATTCATACAAAGATATTTGTTGCAACATTGTTTATGTTAACACATATTTTCTAGATTTTATTGCATCTAAGCCTTGAAATGCTTGAGGCTGTTCAAAAGCCTTCATAGCATGTATTGACATGCAAAGGTGTTCACAATATATTAGTGAGTTTAAAAAAAGTAGATGACCAAAAAGTATGTCTAGTATAACTCCATTTATGTTAAAAAGTAGATATATATTTTTATGCATTTTAAAAGGTTGGAAGGTTGTACTCAAACAAACTATTATCAGTAATTATTTCTGAGGAGTAAAATAATAGTATGATGGGAGGGGAAACCTTTGCCTTATTCTTTCTATACTTGTGTATTGTTTGAATTTTTAAGGTACATATGTTACTATAATAACCGACATAATTTAAATACGTTTTGTAAGTCTATAGCTGCCATATATGGTGATTCTTCTGATGGATCTGGGTAAAGTCAATTTGAAGCCTTCTGGAAAAGATTCACCATTCTAGATGATATTAAGAACATGCATGGGCCGGGTGTGGTAGCTCATCCCTATAATCCTAGCACTCTGGGAGGCCTAGGCAGGTGGATTGCTCAAGGTCAGCAGTTCGAAACCAGCCTGAGCAAGAGTGAGACCGTGTCTCTACTAAAAAGAGAAATTAATTGGCCAACTAAAAATATATAGAAAATATATATAGAAAATATATTAGCTGGGCATGGTGGTGCATGCCTGTAATCCCAGCTACTCAGGAGGCTGAGGCAGAAGGATCACCTGAACCCAGGAGTTTGAGGTTGCTGTGAGCTAGGCTGACGCCATGGCAGTCTAGTCTGGGCAACACAGTGAGATTCTGTCTCAAAAAAAAAAAAAAAAAAGTGCATGATTCATGGGAAGAGTTCAACATATCAATGTTTTTTGATATTTATTCTTCTAAATTTCCAGAAGTTTGGAAGAAGTTAATTCCAGTCCTCATAGATGACTTTGATGGATTCAAGACTTCAATGGGAGAAGTAACTGCAGATTTGGTAGAAATAGCAAGAGAATAGAATTAGAATTGGAGCTTGAAGATGTGACTGAATTGCACAATCTTATGATAAAACTAAGAGGTGAGTAATTGCTTCTTATGGATGAGCAAAGAAAGTGGTTTCTTGAGATAGAATCCACTCCTAGTGAAGATGCCATGAACATCTTGTTGAAATGACCACAAAGGATTTAGACTATTACATAAACTTAGTTGGTAAGGCAGTGGCAGGGTTTGAGAGTATTGACTCCAATTTTGAAAGTTCTGCTATGGGTAAAATGCGATCCAACAGCATCGCATGCTACAGAAAAGTCATTTGTAAAGGGAAGTCAACTGATGTGGCAAACTTCATTTTTGTCTTGTTTTAAGAAATTGACACAGCCGCCCCAACCTTCAGCAACCACCACCCTGATCAGTCAGCAGCTATCAATATCGAGGTAAGACCCTCCACCAGCAAAAAGTTTATGACTCACTGAAGGCTCTAGAATTTGTTAGCAATTTTTAGCAATAAAGTATTTAAGATAGGTATATAGTTATTTTAGAGATAATGTTATTGCACATTTAATAAACTATAGTGTAAACATAACTTTTATATGCACTAGGAAACCAAAAAATTTATGTAACTTGCTTTGTTGTGATATTTGCTTTATTGTGATGTTCTGAAACAAAATCTGTAATATCTCTGAAGTATGGCAGTATTAACATGGAATTATAATATTCAAACACTGCTGACATAAAATATACAAATAAAACCATATGTTCTTTCTTTAGTGAAACCACAGAATATAGGGTAAGTCATTTTTAGCATTCTTTCACAAATTTAGTTGATACTTACAAGATGCTAGACAAGAATAGTGAATTATTTACAGGAAACACCAGATGAATTTGGTTTGTTTAATATCTTTTTGGCAGATAACACACCATGCTTCGCTAGAAGGCTCAATGTGTGCTAGAGTTTTGATATATGGGATTTTATATGCAGCCATAGAAATAGAATGTTCTACACCGACGATCATAGCAAGAATGACCAAGCCTCAATATGTTCAGTTTCTTACTTTGTTCTAATTTAAAATCACTACTGGGGTACAGGTTTAAAATCTCAGTAAAGTTATTGGCAGCCTGATTGGAACAGTTTCTGTTGTCACTTAATCCCACCGGACAGACATGATCTGTATGGCCTGGCACAGTGCCATTGAAACAGCTGGAGTCACCTGATACAGAACATTGCCCTAGGATAAAGAAAGTCAAATTTTTATTTTATCTTTGGAGGGCTAACAGATATTATGCTGAACAAGGCTTCTTCTTTATTGATTTGTGTGTCTGAATACTACTTGGTAGTTTAACAGACTTTGTCCCTCAGCACTGTGTGTCTAGCTTTAATTGTGTTTATTTTAGAGTCAATACCTTGTTACTTAATGAAAAAAGTTGATCAAAATGTGAATCATTAAGAAAAGATAATACACATCTTAAATGTTTTATTTAAACTTATATAAATGTAAGTCATTCAGCAGTCTTTTGATGGAGACTCAAAGCCTTCACATTGAGTTTCCTGATTTTTCAGTTTTTTAAGAGTGAGGTACTAAAACCAACCAACCAAAAACCAACCAGCATATCATTTATGTACAACGTATAAAGATGTTAGGGAAAAAAATAGAGTTAGAGAACTTCATGATAGTAAGGAAGTAACAAAAGCAAGTCACAGAAGAATGTGTTTGGCATAGTCCTGTAGCAATAAAAGCAAACAAAACAACACCTTGTAGGCTGATCCAAAGGTAAAGAGTTATCTCACTTGATTGTTCACAGCCAGTTACAGGTTGAACTTTTTGTTCTACTACTTTCCCCCTTCCTCACTACCAAACTTGACAACTCTGAAAAAAAACAAAACAAACAAAAAAAACCCAAAACACCAACATCTTACAAATTGGTATATACACTGAATGATCAAGGAGAAAAATATGAGAGGCAGTTAACACCAGTAAACATGAAGTAAACACATAGACATAGGATGTGGAATGTAGTAGGGGAGGAGGAAACTGATTTAGTTTTGGTTTTAGACATCTTTCTATTGTAATGAATTAATATGGAAGCACATTGTCCGCTTGATAGTATGAAATAGATTTTATGATTACTGGCAAACTGAAAAGAATTCACAAAAAAGTTATTAGCATTAATGTAAGAATTTAGTAAGATTGCTGGATAAAAATCAAAATTAATTGTATTTCTGAACACCAGCAATAAGGTGTTAGAAAGTATCTTTACAATAGCAACAAAAAGTAAAAAAATACCTGGGAATAAATATAATAAAACATGTCCAAAACTTGTATACAGAGATGAATATAAATTTTATTAGATGATAATAAAGAAAACTTCAGTATCTGGAGAGATAAACCATCTTCTTAGATAGGAAGACTCAATGTTTAAAAGCATAAATTCTCACAAAATTGATCTGTAGCTACTTAATACAATGCAGGTATAGTGATTATGACAGTGTGGTATTGGTAGAAGGATAAACAAATAGACCAATGGAATGGAACAGAGAGCCCAGAAACAAAACTACACATTAGGGAAACTTGATTTATGGCATAGTGTCATAAGTCAGCTGAGGAGAATTGTCTTGCCTAAGGTTATGTAGCCTCCCTTTGGGCAGCCTGCATCCAATGATTGGTTAAGTGGGGTTATAAAGGTCTAGCCTCCTCCTCATCCCAACTAGGGACAACTTTGAAGGGCTGTATCAGCTTCAGAGCTCTCTGTGGGGTGAGCTGAGGCTTTCCTTGAGATTGCATCACACAGACCAGCTTATTCCTCCATCCAATCCTACTTCATTTTTTCTCCTTCCACAACTATAGATCCCAAGGGTACTCCCTAAGAAGCTTTTGGAATGCTAATCTCTGTCTCAGAGTCTACTTCCCTGAGGGAACCCTTCTTGCAACACATCCACTGCTGGTGGAATGTAAATTGACAGGAACAGGGTATAGAACACTTTGGAATTTCCTGGTAAAGTTGAAGATGCATGCTTGTAGCTCCAGGAGACTAAGGTGAGAGGATGGCTTGAGCCCAGAAGTTCAACTTAAATATTTTATTTTAAACTTATATAAATGTAAGTCATTCAGCAGTCTTTTGATGGAGACTCAAAGCCTTCACATTGAGTTTCCTGATTTTTCAGTTTTTTAAGAGTGAGGTACTAAAACCAACCAACCAAAAACCAACCAGCATATCATTTATGTACAATGTATAAAGATGTTAGGGAAAAAAATAGAGTTAGAGAACTTCATGATAGTAAGGAAGTAACAAAAGCAAGTCACAGAAGAATCTCTTAAGTTGTCCGCCCTGGGCAACATAGTAAGACCCCTGTCTCTTGAAAAAAAAGTTGAAGATGCATCTACCTTACAGTCTACAATTCCACTCCTGGGTATACATTCTAGAGAAACTCTCACACAAAATTCACAGTGGGAATTCTTCTTGGGTGGCTGGATGAGGATGTCATCACGATGGAGGGACATGGGGGTTTCAAAGGAACTAGGAAAGACTAAATTGCCTCAAACAAGAACAACAACAAAAAAACCCCAAAAGAGTGTTTGTATAAAATGAAGGGCTAACTTGTCTGGGGAGTTGAGTGCTGAGGGACTAAGGATGAGCTCACTGAAGGTTGATTGGATCAGGGACAGTTGCGTGTCTGTAGAAGTGGAATCTAGAACCGGGCTCTGAAACCTGCTCAGGGCTTGAATAGGTAGGAGGGAATCTGAGAGCGTGGCCAAAGTAAGGGGAACAGCACCAGCAAAGGCTTTCTGGAGTGGCCAAAGTAGGATTCCTGCAAGTAGTCAGAAAGAATTTTACTGCACAGAATGAGTCCAGATAATGGATTTGTCTTGAAAGCTGATTAAAATGCTGCATATTTGCTACATTGGAGAGAAGAGCCATGAACGGTTTCAAGCAGAGGAGAACATACTAGAAGAGGAGTTTCAGGAAGGTAAATCTGGCAGCAGTTCCTGTTCCTCAGAGTAGCATTTTCACTTTGATAAACATGTGCCCTTGTCCTGAATGAAAAACAAAATGCTTCTTGTAAATGGCATTGGAGAATAATAGGACCAGTAGCTAGCTTGGAACAATCTCTAAACTTAATTAATTATTGGACTTCTGTGTGATTGCCCAGTTTGGTGCTGGTCTCTGATGACTGCAGTGTATTCTCAGATGCAGCTGTTGTTTATGACAGCATTGTTGTCTTTGCATGCTAAAATGGTTAATGTTATCCCTAAATGACTGCATGGAGAGCCACTCTGTGCTTCTGATGACAATAGCATCTATGTTGATCTTAGACAAGCCAGGCTTATATTCATGATTACAATTAGAGATTCCATCCTGTCATTCCATTATGTGTACTATGCCAGTGATACTTTTTTTGTTTTGTTTTGAGACAGGATCTCACTCTGTCACCCAGGCTGGAGTGCATTGTAGCAACCACAGCTCGCTATAACCTTGAACTACTGGGATCAGACGATCCTCCTGCTTCAGCCTCCCAAGTAGGCAGGACTACAGGTGTGTGCCACCATGCTCAGTTAATTTTTAATTTTTTGTAGAGATGGGGTCATGCTATACTGTCCAGGCTGGTCTCAAACTCCTGGCATTAATGATCCTCCCACCTCAGTTCCAAGGTGCTGAGATTGCAAGTGTGAGCCACCACACCAGGCCAGCTTTATCCCAAAGCTGAAAGCTATACAGATGAGAGATAAGGTCTCATATCCTGAAAAGATTCCACATAGCTTTTGTTTTGAGTGGTTATTACCTCTTTGTGGGACACTTAATTAAAATACATTGTGAACTAAATGGAACTAGAGGTCATTAGGTTAAGTGAAATAAGCCAGGCACAGCAATACAAATATCACATGTTCTCACTCACATGTGAGTGAAATGTTGATCTCATGGAGCTAGAGAGTAGAATGATGGTTACCAGAGACTGGGAAGACTAGAGTGAGGAGGGGAGTTTGGGGATAAAGAGAGGTTAGTTAATGGATACAAGATACAGTTAGATATGAGGAATAAGTATAGTGTTTGATAGCATGGTAGGGTGACTATAGTTAACAACAATATGTTGTGTATATTTCAAAATAGCTAGAAGAAAAGATTTGAAATGTTCCCAACACAAAGAAATGATAAATGTTTGAGGTGACAGGTATCCTAATTACCCTGATTTGAATATTATACATTGTATGCATGTATCAAAATATCACATGTACCCATAAATATGTATAATCATATGTATCAATTTAAAAGTGTTTAAGAAATGCAAATGAGTCTAAGGTTTCAGTTTAATCCCTTGATGAGAGCTGGTTTCCTTTGGTTTCTGTAGCCTTAGATGGTATTGCTAACAATTGCTCTGGCTCTTTTTATGTAACTAGGGCTACACAACAATCT